ACACACACACACCCATCGTCACAGGGGGTGACCACAGTGTTCTGCCTTAATTTGTGGCGTTTTTCTAAGAACTGGCTGCCATGTACTGTGCGAAATCAATCGATCTGGCAAGAATAAAATGTGGACATCCCTCTTCTAAGAATTCCAATTGAGTGTGTTAGTGTGGCCAGCTCAGGGCAATATGATATTATAAACACAACACATATCACGTCTCTGCTGTTTATAAGTTCATAGGAAACAAAACAGGCCTTTCAGAACAGTAGAACGGAGTAACCTCTCCCAAGAGCAACAGGAACTTTGCTGCAAGACAGGCATATGTAACGATCACTTAGCGCAGCTAAACTCCTGTCGTCGTTCTCGTTGTTCTCCAGACAACAGGCCAGCGAAAAATCTAACAATCTACAGCAAAACCATCAAATATTATGGGCGTTATAACGTAGGTGTGCAGCTGGACGAAACATACACGTCAAACCCCCCCAGACGATTTAAATACCTGACGAAACATACACGTCAAACCACGCTGAACGGTTAATAATTTGTGTGTAGTAATCCATCAGCAGTTTTAACAAGTTAAAATATTATATATCTATTCAGATGAGATGCTGTAAGCTTTAATATTTTGAAATGAGGTTGGTAACTGCAGACAGAGTAGCACTGTATTCAATAAAATTGGGGGAAGGAGAAGACATATGACTCTGAAAAGTTTAGAAAATGGTGAGATGTGAGAGTCTTGATGATGGTTTGGCATGGCATTTAAAATTATCGTTTTGGGCTTTGTTTATTGTTCCAGTTTCCTTAGATACACCAGCACATTTCAGAAACTGACTCTGATTCTGTCTTGAAATGGAAAACAGAAATAGGTTCAGTTTCCAAAATGCAGTGGAAAAGTACAGCAATGGATGAAGTCCAAAAGAATAGTTTTGAACCTCACTTTTGCATTTATCCAAATTCACTGGTTACTCCTTATTACCACCATGCCACAAGCCAGAAGGTCACTGGATCGAATCCCGATGAGGTGGATTTTTTCAATTTACCTAATCCTTCCAGCTGCACTGTGGCCCTGGGGTTGACTCAGCCTCTAACAGAAATGAGTACCAGGAATATTCTGGGGATAAAGGGCAGCTGGTGTGTAAGGCTGACAGTCTAGCTGCCATCTATGAGCTGATTGTCTAGAAAATGTGGGGCCCTCAACGTCTCACAACCCTATGGGCCTCCACAGCCTGGTACAGGGATACCTTTACTTACTTACTTACTTACTTACTTTACTTACTCCTTATTACTCATCATCACAGTGGATTAAAACCTACCTCCTCCAAAATAAATAATCAGAGAAACAGACAAATATGAAAAGGTAAATGAATTGCAATGTCAGAATCAGTTTATTCAAACTTTTCTGATATATTGATCTCTCTCGGAAGGAGCTGGGGACATGGGAGCCAGGTGTGACTGTTGGAGGTCATTTTGGTGAGGTTGTGGATATTCAGTGGGAACCTGGTGGACGCTTCTTGTTCAGTGTCAGTACTGATCAGACAACCAGGATCCATGCTCCATGGATTAGAGATGATCACCAAGAGGTAAGTGCATTGCTGGGCAATGTATGAAATGAATATTAACATGCAGGTGTTCTGATAGGCCAGTAAGTCAGAGATGTGTGGCAGGACTTCCATATCCTGCTGTAAAGTAGGCCTTGGCATGAAGAAATACCATTTGTTCTTGTCACACAAACAAGGTCACTGTGCTTCTGTACACTCACATTGGTATAGCATGGGTCCTGTAGAAATGCAGACGCTGAACTGATATGTAGATGTGTGTAACAAGCATGTCATCAGTGAAAGATTCAGTATTGGCACTCTGCAGTGCTGAGTGTATGGAATCATGTGATTTGAACATTACTAGCTCTGTCAAAGCATTGTCCCTCCTACTTCTTCATGTGTTATCTTTCTGCACTTTGTGTTGTCACCAGCCTTTCCACAGCAGGCTTTCTAAATCTGAGTACCACACTAAGATACGACTGTGGTCGTGGTGCAAGGGCCAAGAAGACCCACCCCTTATGCAAGATACCAGTTGATTCTGTGTATACTGTCTGTACATCTGCATAGTGTCAAAAGTACAACTGAAATAGATGATTATGCTTTGATTTTGAACAGGAAACTTGGCATGAACTTGCACGGCCTCAGGTCCATGGCTATGATATTTCCTGCCTAGCAGTTTTATCACGATACAGATTTGCATCAGGAGCAGAGGAGAAAGTCATTCGAGCATTTCGAGCGCCAAATAATTTTGTTAAGAATTTTCGGCAAATATGCAAAGTAGAATCTGATAAAGACATTGAAAATAGTGATGGTGAGTGAAAATATTCATAGCCATGTATATTTTAATCATTTTGGTTTTGCATTGTTGTAATGATGCAGGTAGACAGTCCAGCTGGCTGAGTGATTCTTGTTTTCAATACTAGTACTGTTACTCAGAGATATTGGGTTTTTGGACTTATCCATCGTCCTGGTTTTAAGATAACTAAGAAAAACACGATGTTTCGGAAACTGGATCTGTTTCCGTCCTCAGGTGAGGGAAAACACCTATTCTGTTGGGTCGCTTAGAAAGAGCTAGCTTCAATCACTGGACGTGAGGTCCGAAAACCCAATATCTCTGTTTATTATACACCTTCATCAGAATCCTATAGCAACTACTAGTATTGTTACTGTCAGTTTAAAATTTTGTCTCCAGCCCCTTAATACCAGGAGAGTTAAAATGCTTTTGTTCTGGATAATAAAGGTTAAACAAAGCACTGTGCAATGTGTGTGACTACCATCTCAGTCTGAGAAGCAATTAAGATCTTAGGGTCAGGTGTGGGATATTTAATGATTTAATTATTTGAATGTGGAATTAGACTATACTGATTTTATTTATAAGGAGGTGGAAGATGTTCACGCACAGGATGATCAGTAGAGAGTAAATATGGTCTTATCTTGCATATATGTATTTTTTTTTCCGTTAGAGCATTATAGAAATGTTATATGCTTGTTTGCAGAAGCCCTTCACTCCATACTTGAATTAGAAGTATAATTGTTCATTTGGTCTTAATTCCTTCCTACAATTGTCATGGGTCCAGTCCACAACCAACACAAAGCAAGATGGCAAATATCCTTGAACTCAGTATTCCCAGATCATTTATAAACCGGAATATGTCATTCCCATTTCAGGCAAGTTATGGTTTACTAAAATGCTTAAATGAGGGCCTAGAACCACAATGACATAAAGCATGGATTTTGGATATTTGAGATTACCACATGTCTGCATGCTCCTGATGTTAGTCTTTCATTCTATGAAACACTCATTTTTTGTCTTCTGTGTGATTCAAGATATGAATAAAAATTTCTGGTTATGTTTTCTGGTTCTGCAGCTGTTTCTAGTTCCATAATGGTGTGTGGCTTTGTATTATTTAAAACAAAGTGCTTAAGTAAACTCAATTCATTATTTTTATAACATAAATTTACACTGTTCTTTGTGTTCTTAGCTTAAAAATATTGCTTAGAATACTGTTCTTGATAAATGATAAAACAGTTCACAGACGTTGGATTTTCTCAAATTTATATGCTTGTGCCTTTACGTCATTGTGGTACTAGACATCTCAAATACTATGAGTTCTTAATTGAAGCCCTCATGGTTAAAAAAATCCCTTTTTCATCATGAAAATTCTGTATGTTGTATGTCACATCCAAAAGGATATTAGTATGTTGCCCACAAGTTCAAGATCACATTATATGCCCAAAGCTGGGCTATGCCATAGCTCAAGTGGTTAGTCGCTGGCTTCCTGGGTCTGGTCAAGTGGGATTTGTGGTGGACAAAGTGGCATTGGGGCAGGTTTTCTCCAAGTACTTCAGTTTCCCTTGGCAATCTTCATTCCACCAATTGCTCCACAATACCCTCACCTATCATCTGGGGATGGTACAATAGGCCAGAAGTGGCCGCAGTACAAGGGACTTAGTCCCACCCCACTAGCAATAAAAAAAATGTTCCCAAAGTTTGTAGAATTGCTATAGAAATAGGACACACAGGTAATACATACTCACTTCCTCACATTTCACATTTTGAAGGCCTATTTCTAACATGGTTTCTCTATCTACAACATTGCCCTTGAGGTTGGTCACGCTATTGTTTCTAGCTCCTCAAACCTGTGTTTTTAAAAACAAATAACCTATGTATAAAGAAACAGTGAAATTACCATATAGAATGATTTTGTAAAGCTGTATGTTGGAAGGGAAAGACTATCACATATGACTGGACTTCTACAGAACAGACACCCTATTGTTCAGACATAGGACAAGCTGTATTCTTGGACCCTCACTTATCTGTTATCACATTATCTGATTAATGGATTAACTGCAGGACTTTGAGAACTGTCTTAATTATAGATTGCAGCTTCCTATAATGATTTAATTGTAGCCCGTTATATGTGGTTTGGTAATGTGTATTATTGATGCCTTACAGTGATCACAGTTATGTTAGGTAAGCAGATGATGGACACAACAGGTGAAATGTGTTGAATAGAGGAAAATACTTTTCTAATGATGGAAGTTTTAATTAATTATTAAAATAGTATGCTGTTACAGAATTACCTAATTTGTGTTGATATAGTTAGGTAAGGAATTGTCCTACAGGACAATCTGTATAAGCTGTTGTCATGCTATATGTTGTACTGATGACATTTTACAGCATTTGCAGTTCCTCAAGGGGCATCTGTACCTACATTGGGTCTTTCCAATAAAGCTGTGTATGAGGGTCAAGAAGTGCCCCCTGAAGAAAGACATGTTAAGGATGAATATCCAGAATTCTACTTCACACCACTTAATTTGAAAGGTACTGTCAAGTGCCACATATGCATATTTGTACTGTTATCAGTACTTTAATGTACAGGTTTGCAGCGGGAAGCCTTCCACCAGATTTTTTATTTTATGTCCAAATAATGATCACATTCTGAATGTTCCATCTTTGCTCTTTATTTTTTTGGCATCCTCCTTAATAGTTCACTTGTAGGACAAACAGACTATATGATTTCAATATAGTGAGATTATTTTAGAATATAATACTAACTGCTGATCTGCTGAGGCAGAAGAGTCGGATGCTCTTCCCCATCGTTTGGGTCACAGAAGTTCAGACTGCGAGCAAAACCAGCAAACCTATGCTCAAAACACATTACAAATAAAGCTCATCTATATAGCAGATTCTAGAAATGCAGTTTTAGGAAGGGAGAGTAAATATTAAATAAAACACAGTTTATTTATCCATTATGGATGATTTTATTGGTTCCTTGTTGCCATAGCATGCAATGTCCTGAGGTTGTTTTTTGAGGAGGTGCCCAACAGATATGGAGGATAGTTGCAGATATAGTGAATAAGCAGTCTCAGACAGTCAAAAGTGGATAGGCTTCAAGTTTGGAGGTTGGGCAGAGGTTAACATCTTCTCCCTTTAAAATTCCAGCTTGTTAGGAAATGTTACACACAGCCCTGAATTCACACAGTTTCTTTGGAGTAATGCAAGGAATAAAAAATTGGACATTTTAAAGAAATAGGGAGGGAAGGAGGGAGGGCATGGACTGGATTCATCTGAGTAAGGATCAGGGTCAGTGGAAAACTCTTGTGAACACAGCAGTGAACTCACAGGATACATAATGTAGGTAATTTCTTGAGTATCTTGTGACTCTTAGCTTCTCAGGAATGGCTCTGTTCCATGGTGTTGGTAAGTTTGTTAGATATAGATGGCTACTTCTAACTGTACATAAAACTTTAACTGAATTCATTTTTTTTGGAACAGATAAGACATTTGAAATATTCCTGATAAAGATGCATTTCAGTAGTACTGAAGGTAGCTAATTGTATGTATGAGCAATGATTGATGATGTTTTTATTTTTTAAGAACCCCCTACTGAAGAAAACCTGTTGCAGAACACATTGTGGCCCGAAGTTCAGAAACTTTATGGTCATGGTTATGAACTGTTTGCACTTGCTGCAAGACATGATGGAACTCTTTTAGCATCGGCATGTAAAGCAACCACAGCAGAACATGCTGCCATCATTATCTGGTTGGTATTTATATACTTGATTCTATATTTATTCTGATCCAAACTCTACATTTTTTACTTATCCCAAAATTAAGATGCAATTTGTAATGTCTGGGATAAGAAGGTAAAATTTCCCACTGCTGAAACACTGCTTCATGTATCTGGGAGTTGTGGTAAGGTGCCACATGTCATTAACTTTGACACTAAATGCATGTGACTGGTCAGCTTCATGCCCCAGTTGTTCTGTCTCTAGGAAAAGAGCCCTCACAATTATTGATTGGATGCTGGGTTTGCCCCAAGACTGCTATGGTCATGGTGACAGAGGAATATCCATGCTTTTGCTGGGAATCAAACTGGATTGTCCAGTCACTGGTAGTCCAGTCCAGGTAGTCACAGTACCGACTGATTTATTCTGGTTCACTATGAAATGTACAGTGGAAGGCCAATTCGTAACAATATGAAAAACTGATTCTATAATGAAGCAACACTTACTATCATGACAGAAGTGTGTAAATGCAAACAGAAAGCAATCACATTTTGAAATCATTTGTTTATATTGTAATGTGTTTGGCTACTGAAGATGCTGTTCGAATTGTTACTTGGGTTTATTAACCACTTACAGGTCGTAACTACAATTACTTAGGACACTCTTGTTGATTTACACAACTTACCCTCACTACACACTAATCTCTTCACTCTACCTTCAGTAGTTTTCTCGTATTTATAACAAGGGAGCTGTACTAGTCTCTCTGAATTACACACTCCCAATATAACTGTACTACAGCACACATAAAGTCTTGAAGTCACACAGTAAGTGTTAACTGACTGACTTCTCAGTTATCGCACACTATCAATGATTATCAAACATAAAATCTTCTAATCATGTGTTCAGTTCTTCTTCCTGCGACTGGCTGACTTCTGCTCCGCTGAATACTAACTGGCTCCATGGTTATTCCAGTTTCTTTTATAAACTCTCAGTCGGACAGCGAAAAATGCACGTCGCTTCATTGTTGCATATTCGCTGTGTTTACAGAGGCGTTACTGCGCAACGCTGCATAGCAACCAGCGTGCTTTGGCTTGGCTAGGCACAGCACAGAGAAACAGCGCTTTCGTTACTGTTGAGTAACCTCGTTCCACTGTTGCGCAACTTGGCAACCAACCGTTTATCAGGAGTCTGTCTTCGTGGTAACTTGTTCCACATCCAGTTGCCCAACAACGGTTTGACATGTCACAATATGTTAATTGTATGTTTGTTAAGGGACACGTCAACATGGAAACAGATGCAAAGGCTTGTGTCTCATCAGCTGACAGTGACGCAAATGGAATTCTCTCCTGATGACCGTTTCCTGTTGTCTGTCTCTCGTGATCGTCGGTGGAGTCTTTTCCAGTTGGAAGACAGTGAATTGGGTAAGAAAATAATTATTAATGCCTGTTAAAAAATAAATTAATTCTTCTGGTACAGATAGAATTTCAGTCTTTAGATTAGTTTCCTGCCAGATCTGAGACCTGGAATGCCATTAGTGAATGGTTGCTCTGTATTTATACAGGCATTTTCCGTCTTTCCATTTCAGACAGGAAGATCTACAGACTTATTGCTAACACAGAGAAGAAGACTGGAGTACATGCTCGCATTATATGGTGCTGTAGTTGGACTTATGATTCCAAGTATTTTATCACTGGATCTCGTGATGGTAAAGTAGCAGTATGGGGTCATGAAGGAGCAACATCAGAAACAGCATCTCCACTTCATCAGTATACTTTAAGCTCAAAGCCACTTGAGCTCCCAGATCAGTCTGTTACTGCTGTGGCTGTGGCTCCAGTGAAAATTGCTGCAGATGTATACCTGGTAGCTGTTGGACTTGAGAGTGGTTGCATAAACATGTATAAGTGGTCACCTGTCAGTACAGGAACTGTAGACAACTGGCAGAGATGTCTGGAGCTTGACAATTCGTATCCTTCATGTAATGTTGTGGTGTTTTATCATTCTGTTTGTATGCATCTGTTTTCTTCAGTTGTCTAGCAGCCAAGCCCTTCCGTCCATCTCTGTCTTCCCAAAGCTTCTGCTCCTCAGTTTCCTCCTGTGTGGCATCATTCCAAACATATTAATCCCTTAGGTTGCCAGTCTTGCATACACATACTGTTGGTAAGTATAGTGTTACTTTTCATAGTCATCCAGTAATTTGTACAAATTTTCTTGGTCTCTTCTAGAAGCTTGAGGGTGGATAGGTTTGGAAGGGAGTAGTCCTTCTGCCTTGCAGTTCTCAGTGCAAGTCTGAACCCAGTAGATGTTTCAGAATTTGTATCCTCTCACTAAGTTTAATACACTGCTGGTATGTGCTCTTCCATATTTAAAACATTGCTGATGCTGTATTTACCCAAGTGGAAGACAAGGTTCTTTTCCCCTGTTTATCAGAGATAAAGAGCAGACTGCCTTGAATCGGAGTGAAAAATGAATATGAATGTTTTTTTAAACTTTTAGCATGTTGATTTTAAGATTTAGTGTATGCTGACATTCATGGTGTATTGGGATATTAGTGTAGAAAATGTGTGTGTGATTGAGAGAGAGGGAGGGGTTAATGTGAGAGCTATGAAGTACAATGAATTTGCTTGATTTATTACTCAAGCTGTGACCTCGAGGCAGTAATTTGCTGTCACTACCATGAGGTTGAAAAACAGAACAATTGCTCTTTATGTGCAGACATGTTTCTTAGTAGGAGGTTGTCGTAAATTCAAAGTCTTCTTCCATTAGGTTAAACAGGTTATTTCTGTTCAACCTGTCCCAAATTCGAAGCACTGATATCTCTAGCACAATTATTTCCTTCATAATAGTGCAGTTTTTTATGATTTATTTGTGTTTGGTCATTTTAGCAAGCATATTGGCCTTATTTTTTCTTACTGTAATTTGCCTGATAGGACATTGGTTATTATGGATTTGAAGAAAATCTGTGACTGAAGTAATACAGCATAATACTGTATAATAACTAAACTGTGTTTGAGTGGAACTTGCTTCCCTCCAGCTGCACTATGGCCCTGGGGTCAACTCAGCCTCTAACAGAAATGAGTACCAGGAATATTCTTGGGGGTAAAGGGAGGGTGGCGCATAGGGCTGACAATACCGCCATCTATGAGCGGATTGTCTAGAAAATGTGGGAACCTCAACATCTCACAACTCTATGGGCCACCAAGGCCTGTTACAGGGATACCTTTATTTATTTATTTATTATTTTTTCTTTTACATTTTGAGTGGCACTTGCAGTAAAGTCATTTAGGTAACCTTTTGTCTTGGCTGTATTCTATTTGGGGTGGTCATTTAAGTGAAAATAATAAGAAAAGTCCACAAAATTATTAAGAATTAGAATTGAACGGACACATCGATTAGTGATTTACACTGTTAGGGTGAAAACATAAATATGATAAAGGCAAATATGGAAACTGTGCTGTAAGCTAGTAAGGAGATTGCCATAGAAATTAATGCAGAAAATATTTACATATATATTCATGAATATATGATAAACTCATAATACAGTCAATTCTCAGCTATCTTCGCTGATGAAGGGGTGTGTCGTATGACTAATTGGAAACCATGGATAATCAAGGAAATTTTGTTCTGTATTCTTACAATATTTTACTGATTACTTAACCTTTTTTTTTCATACCAGATCTATACATGTGAGTTTTATTGCAATTTTCGTTTTGACAAATAGTCCTTAATACTCCTTTATCTGTCACAGTTTGAATCTAGCTTACAGCTATTAAGATCGCTGCATATTGAAGTTATTTGTTTTGGGCATGGATGTCAATCAAAACAGTGTTATTTATGCATGGATAATACATTAGACCATTTTCTCTTAATGAATTTGACAGAGTTGCACACCACCTGGCAGTAAAGAAACTGTCATTTCGACCACTAGTGGATACTGGAAGCGACTGTGATAAGAATACCTTGAAGAATTTGCAGATTTCAAGTTGTGGAGCTGATCATGCAGTCAAAATATTCAATATTTATGTGAATAAATTATGATTATAAAGTGACTGTGTGTATGATTAAATAAAAGCAACCTTTTGTTTTATCTGAGGATAAATGCAAGACTTTATTTATTTATTCCATTTGTCTATTTTTTGTGGAAGAGATTACATGGAAAATATTCAGAAGAAAACGGTCTTAGTCCAATCAATGTACCCTCTTGACATTTAGCTGCAAGGATTGAGGAAAACCATAAAAAAACTACAAAACAGATAGGTGTGCCAGTCAAGATTCAAAGTACTTCAAATACAAGTTGCAACTGAACCAAACCGTTTGTCCAGTGACAAAATATAGATGCATTTGTTTTTCCCTGTAACTTTCGCTTAGTGGGGGGTGGAGTCCAACTGGGTCCACTCAGCAGGGCAGCCACTGATTGGCGCGTTGTATCTTCCCTGGGTGTTTATGATGATGGAGAATTTGGTGGAATGAAGACTGGCAGGGGAAACCAAAGTACTCTGAGAAAACCGCCTCAGTGTCTCTTTGTCCACCACAAATCCCACTTGACCAGACCCGGGATTGAACCCGGGCCGCCACGGTGGGAAGCCAGGGACTAACTGCTTGAGCTATGGCGCAGCTGTAGACCCCGTAACTGTTAGTGATGGAAATCTTTAATTACCGTACTTCGCTACGCCGTGGAATATTCTGGTGTGTGCCAATTTTTCTTGTGGAATCACATTTGAAGCTTGTTTTTATGGACGTTAAGTCCTATGATATATATAAGCATTCGAGATCAAAATTACTGTAGGAACAAGCTCATGACTCACATTTTGCAGTCCAAACTTATATTTCGAATTTTTTAATTATTGTTTTAAACATGAATATTCTCCACATCGTGATGTATGTAAAATTTCCTACATTTGTACGAAGTTCTGGGTTAGAAGTATTTGAAACAAAATGGCAGATTATGGATATGGTTGCGACTGAGCATGTACAAGAAAGACCAAACGTGTGACGCATTTGGCGGTGAATATTTTCATACTGATCAGAACTTGGTGCAGAGTTCTACCAGATGGCAGCATGTGTCAAATTTTATTGAACTCGGAGTCAGAGCTTTGCAAAGCGTCGGCAGCTGTGGTCGATAGTGTCGGGGCTAGGCGTTTGGTGGAGAAAATCGGTGTGATTTGATTGAAAACTGGAATCCTGATATTGCATTATGGCCGTGGAAAATGCAGTTAAAACGTAAAAAATGTTGTGGATATACTGTGGACTCTTCCTGTCTCTCGCTGGAGCGCCCGGGCCGGCTAGCACTGTTTCCCTGTCAAAACGAGGTAAGCGCTCCTCCGATTTCAATTAACTAGTTTATAATTACTTTTGCTGTGTGTTTTATGTAAAACTGTGAAGTCGATAGAGTAAGAAAGTTGCAGGGCGTGTCTCTAGTCATGTGTTTCGTGTAATTATTTTTTGAAGTGCCGGCGCTGTACGTAATTACCGCCATCGGCCCATTTGACGTTTCGGAAGTCGTACTCCGTAGTGCAAGTGTCAGGCGCTCTGAGCCGTACTGCTTCCCACGTTCATATAAGAAGCCGCACGCTGTTAGTGTTTCCGTTCGTGAAGACCTTCTTAATATGGGACTTCTAATTTTCTGTTCAAAATGAATGTTATTCAACATATTGCTGCATGAAAATCGCACGCCTATGGAAATCAGCGTTACTTTAAACTTACATTAAGAATATCCAGGGCGCTGTCATTGGTACGTTTTTCATATAGCTTATTACTGGCGGTGATAAAAACTTTTGAATTCTTTACAGTGACTAATTAGTACCTTGTGGAGGTTCGTCATTTTGTATCCGGAATTAGGCATGTTACGTAACTGTAATTCTAAATTCGCGTTTAGTACAAAGTTCTCTTTGAGGTGGCTTATTTAGTCTTTATGATTCTTATGATACATTAGGGTTCCTGTAATTTAGTTCTCATTGACTCATATAACGTTAGGAGGAAATAATTGAGGCACTGTTACAGTGTGGAAATTAATCCTTCCCATCACCCTCATCTGCTCGCTCGGCAACTGTTCCTTGTTTCTGTGGTAACTATATGCAAATTTTCTTCATCCCCGTCCCCTCCACCATCTTCGTTTCACTCGATTTTCTATTTAGCATATTTCAATGGCGGTGACACAGTTTGCATAATAACATCATGTTATTAAGTGTCATTGTATACCCCCGGGGCCCAGAGACCATCTATAGATAGTACAGGCCAAACACCTCAACCAAAGGGTTCTGCATTAGCCAAGGGGAAAATCAAAAGGACAGTGTTGCTTGGCGTGGGTCACAGCTTCCCTTCTAAAAGCAGTCCTCGACACCAAAGCCCGTGCAGTTTATATTTGATGTTCGATTCATTTACGGGATTAAGTTACGGCTGTGCGGTGTGGAAAAGTAACACGTGTTACTTTGTCAGTTAACCTATTATGAAGCAGCAGTCTAGTTTGTTTGAATTTGTTACTGCTTGTGGCAGTAAGTTTGTTAATACCAGTTGTATACGTCAGCCGGCCACTTCTCAATGTACCCCATTAGAAAATTTTTTGTGTAGCTTATGTCTTATGTAGTCGTAAAATGTATAGATGTGCACGACGTATACATAAATGCAGGTTTTCGATAATAAGAAAGTTTTTCTCAAAATTGGCACTGTTGTGGGGTACAACCAAATGATCCGTGCATTTTTGGAAGTTGATATCGGAATAATAAATCTCATACCAGAGAGTTCGAAAATCAAATTTTAAGGAATTTCAAATTCGAAATGCCGAGCATTGAACATGAAAACATTTTATAACAGTAGTTTTACTATTATTTTTCTAATTATGAATGCTATTGAAGCGAAATACAACTTGAAACTGGTTACAGGAAAGCGAACATTCTCGCAATTCTTGTAGTAGGTTTACTGTTATAGTTTCAATTCATAATGCGAATAGTAGGCGTATTACAAATATCTTTAATCTCGTAATACATTTACTTCAGAGTAATGAATCACGCCTAACATCACCGCAAGTCCGTGTTATTCGAACTGCGACCATTTCTCGTGACCTAAGCAGTGTTAGGGAGAGATATTGCTATCGCTAAGCTTCGCACTCACGCCGAACAGGCGAGGACACGCCAACAGATCGGCTGTCGCTGAGCTTGCTTCATGTTTCGTTCTGTCAGATACTAGTGACATAGGACCGTCAAATAGGCCGCGTCTGTATTCTTCTCGATTTACAATTATATTTGCATCCCTCTAAATGCTTCGTCGTCTCTCAAACTGAAATCATATTTTATAAGTCTAAGCGTTACGAATAAAGATACAGCTACAGTGATGAAGAAATGTTGGTATATGGGTCACGTCTTTGTTTAATGTATCTTCAATAAAAAGTATTTCCTTTATTATGAATTTGTACACGTTATGGAAACATAGTTGGGACCTTTTATTTTTTATTGCTAGTGGGGTGGGACTAAGTTCCTTGTACTGAGGCCACTTCTGGCCTATTGTACCAGCCCCAGATGACAGGTGAGGGTGATTGTGGAGCAATTGGTGTAATGAAGACTGGCAACGGAAACCGAAGTACTCGGAGAAAACTTGCCCCAGCGCCACTTTGTCCACCACAAATCCCACTTTATCAGACCTAGGATCGAACCCGGGCCGCCGCGGTGGGAAGCCAGCGACTAACCGCTTGAGCTATGGCGCGGCCCTCGATCGGACCTTAGTATAACAAGCATAACTCAATAACAAAAACATAGGCTTGGAATTAGGAAACATCACAGTAATAAAAACTTCTTTTTTTTCGTACAACCTAGATATTCACTGACATTGTCAGAGAGTGAAAGTCATTGTTCGCCTTACGTGTCAGCAATTTTGGAGCTTTTTCTTTTTTATAGCATTATGCAGTGCGGTCTTTGTATTTACATTTGTATTTTTTCTCTTATGGGTTACGGTAGTGTTTGATGTTGCCTATGCAAGCAGTAACGTAAGTTATCAATAACATTTATACACCCATGTAATATTTATACAAACAAGTGTAACTTTTCTGTTTTCCTGTTTTCTTACTGTGGCCTAACAGAAAACATTCAAAGCTATCAGGAAATGTATGCCCCGCACTTTAGCCGAATTGTAGCTATTGAAACGATGTGCAAATACAGTTGTATAGTGTTTGAACGCGATCGGTATCTTTATTCCTAGTCTTTGTTTTCTGAATTACATGAGTGCAATCTGGTCCTTGTACTTTATTTAAAGAAGTCGCTACTAGCATGTATTAAGATACTGTCAAGAAGAGCAGCTATATCTTGGACAAAAGAGAGGATACTTCTGCTTGTCTCATACACATAGGCTCACTCCACCAACGAGAGCAGTGCGAGGCACAAACTCACGAGTAAGAACTGAATGTCATTTCAGCACATTTAGGTGATGATGGCAATAATAATAATAATAATAATAATAATGTGACGCATATGCCCAGTGCTAGGCAACGACACAATATACACGTTCCAGCGAACAGGCAAAAATGGGAGCTGTATTCTCTGTGGATCAAACTACCGCTCGTTGCTAGGTAGCACAAGAATTCTGACAACAGAAGAGGTGTTATCTATGTGGTCCGTGCCGCCGCTATATAACGGGACTCGTTCCCGAGAACGACTGACCTGGCGAGGACAGATCCGCCCTCTCGTCAGAAAGAGTGCCCCACATGAACAAACCCGCAACTGTCTGACTAATAAAAATCTGGTTGTAAGCCCCAGATGGGTAATTTATTCCAGGACAGACTGGCCGTCTGACCGTCGGTCGTAGCCTGACTCTGACTCGGGCTCGGGCTCGGACTCTGACTATGACTCGGACTCAGATAGAGAGTAGAGAATTAGAATTGGATAATTGGGTCGGGTTCTGGAGGGTCACCTTTCCAAGGTGACTGAACAAGAAATGACAGGAAGACTTCATAGTGGTTAGAAGTGATAGTTCCTGTCATAAATCCGTTGCCAAGAAACGGATAGCGTGTCCTAGTGATTTGTGCAGTGAGTAGATTAGCAGTAGCGCTATAATTGATTGTGAATAAGAGAGCATGGAAATGAAGGTGATAATACATCCAATCGTCTA